CTCTAGAATTGACACAAAGGGGATCCTTTTTTGTCTCTTTCTCTCTCTCTCTTGGGCCCTGTCTTTTTTTTTTTTTTTTTTTTATCGCGCACATAGCGCACCTCCCTCAGCGCGCACACTGCGCACAGTGCGCGCGCTGTCATTTGAGCGCACAGCGCAGTTTGCACCGCACTGCGCACTTGTGCGCCGCAACTATGTTTTTTTTTATTTTTATTTTTATTTGGTGAAGAATTTCGATGTGACCCTGAGGCAAAAGTTTTTCAGTTCATTTTTCTGCATAACATTTTTTTTTCAGAATTAAAAAAAAATGGACTTTTTAATGTTTTTTTTTTTTTTTTTTGCTGGGCCGCCCGGGCACAACAAGGTGACCCAGGCGGCCTGGCCGGTAGCTTAGCTGGATAACGTATTCCACAGTTTTGGCAAGCTGGAAAACCTGCAGTTGGAACTTGGAAGAACTGCAGTAAATCTGCAGTAAATCTGCAGTAAACGGTAGTGTCCACAGGCAGGACTGTGGTTATGCTTTCTGAAATGTTGAGTCAAATTCAGTCAATGCCACTGCTATGGTGTTTTAAAAATTCAACTGGCAATTGGATGTAGTAGGTTGTACTTGTACGGACCATTACGGGAGAACAGAATGAGTTGCTTGACTGATTTGAAAGTGTTCTGTGGTTGGTTATAATTGCGACAATACGTGAAAATGTGAGTTCGGTTCAGGTTCATGAGAATGCGTACAGCAGCGACCAACATCATTGTTTTTCGCTTCCTCAAACCGCAGGTCAGTTTTCTCGTTCGCCCTTCATTTTGCAACTGCACGTTCATTTTCCCATGCGCAAACCAAAACCGCTGCGCTTGTTTCTTGCACTGTTTCCTTCTTAGGCTCTTTTGTATCTGTCCTTTCCAGTGTTTTTTTTTTTAATTAATATTATTTAAGGATCGTTTATCTTCATTTTGTCCTTTCCAGTTTGTTTGTTTGTTTGTTTTTTTTTTTGTTTTTTTTTTTAATTGTTTTTTTAGGTCCGCGTTCGGCCGTTCTAGAGCTGTCTCTTATACACATCTAGATGTGTATAAGAGACAACCTCTGGACTGTCTAGACTCCTACCCGACAGATCTACAGTTCGAATCCCTTCTACCCTGAGACCTACGAAATCCTACCTACCACTGGCGGTCCTACAGGTCACAGGTTCAACTCTACGGGTTGACAACGATACTGTACACAGGTAAGGTGGGGAACTAGGGATCGAGCCCTGGGATCTGCATCAGCTACTGCAAACCAGTGAATACT